ATTTCCCAGATTATCTTTTCTTACTTACGTTTGTAATGGACATATATTTAAGAACATGAGAAACTCAATTTAGATTGCATTGTTTGTCTCTCAGCCAGCATCACCAGCGTCACTTTTATGCGCATAAAAATTACGACCTATCTAACGTCGTCAACTTAGTGTCAACACAATCAGTGGACAACTTAATATTTGATGATGTAATTTCTAATATATTTGACAGTGCAATTTGCGATATTGACTAATCAACCAACTGCCACGACACTTAATCGGTTTTCTTTTTTTTTATTATTGTCATATATTAATTTGTCACGTATATTAGTTTACAAATTTGCTACAAATGATAATAGAGATTTTGTATATACAAGGAGATATGTTAAATACACTGTTATATTTTAAGTAAAATATTAATGTATAACAGAATAAAATATACTTTTAAAATTAAACGTTTGCAATTAAAAACATTAATTTTAAATAATCGGATAAAAATAAGTATTAAAAAATGAGTATTTCATCTTATGTCAAATAGTTTTTTTTTTTTCTAATTGATGCACTGTACTATACTATAAAAACCTTTTACATTTGTAATATATATTGGTAATATTAATTGGTAATTGCATCATGAGAAAGGATTCAATTGCACTATCAATACTGAACGATTGTTCACAAGGATATCATGTCTACTGTACATGTGCAAATTTTATAAATATAACTTTTATATCATATCATGTCTGTCAACATATCATGTCTGTATAATATGGTTGCTGTCACACTTTTATTTTATTTTGTTATTAATTCGTAAGTAATCATATAAATTACAGAATGATTATCTTAATATATACTTTATATTTTACAGATATTTTCTTAGTCATTAATCAATAGCATTCTTCTAAAATTATATGTGTAATTATGTATGTATATTATTTTATACATATAAATGTGATTAATAATTATTTAAAATTTATTATAAATTATTACAAAATTGTATAATTAAGTAGTCTAAACAAATCTATTTCTGCACAAGTACTAAAAGAAAAGTATTGGTATTTGTGACTATAATTATATGGTAAAATAATTATGGTTCCATTTTTTTATAGTTGTTACTGTTATAATGTTAGCAATTATGTTTATAATTCTATCAAAGAATATAAGGAATTTGACATTTAAATTGTACTTGAATGATAATAATTGCAATTTTTTTTTCTCTTATATTTTTTCTTCTCTTGCAAATAAAAGAAATTTTAAGAAAATGTGCTTTGAAACAGGTTATTAGAGTACAATATAATTGTATATATGATATAAATATAAATAGATGTAATTTTTAAATAATGTATATCAATGAAAAATGTTATCGCTCATATTCAAAAATTAAATTATATTAGTTATATTAGTATATAGTTTGTAATAATGAGCTTTATATTCGCATATATGAGCATTATATTCGCGATGCATGCCAATCGGTGATTTTTTGCAATCGATGACTTTTCCTCATTGTTTAAGGTTATTGTTCTTACACGAAATGCTGTATTACCGTCCAAAGAAAGAGGATAAACTACAATTACGTAACGTAGTCATATGTCGCATTTTGAGCGAAGGTGCGAGAACGCCATGAGCATAAACAAAACAATATTATTTCGCAAAAGCGCGCCACGCAAAATCGTGACACGTACATTTTTAAGCATACGCTCTGTATGATGACACATGATATCTTTTTAATCGATTTATGCTGCGGCGAAACATAATACTCGACAAATTAGCTCAATTAACTGTTATTTTAATAAGGTCTCCAATTTTTTTAACGTAGAATTCTATAACCATCTTTTAATTTTAAATCATTGTTATGCAAAAATAAAAAAAATATATGCATGTACAATAACATAAACATAATATAACATGTTTTATAAAATTATGATATTAAATGTGAGATTATAATATTGATGTTATATTACTTTTAATTATTGTCGAGTGAATTGTTATTACGCATCATTTATCCGGACATAAAATTAATTACTATAATATAGTAAAATTACGATTGTAATGGGAATTTCGATAACAATAGATTAAAGATTTATCGCGAGAAAATAATTTATAAGAAATGTGGAAATTGTATAAAGTTAGTGATAAATATAAAGTTATAATATAAAGTTAGATAATTAACAGACTATAAAACATCGAAAGCATGTTTGAATACTAGTTTGAAAGGAAAAAACATGAATTCCGTTATCACAATGTCAAGAAGTAATTTATATGACAGAAAGGAATAAGAGAGTCACACATATAATGTAAAACTAACAAAATGATATGCACTAAATTAAGGACTTGATAATTATATAAATTAGTAAGATGTAGATAAGAAAATGTGCAATGTCTAATTTAAATAATAGATAATAATTATACGTTTAAATAGGTCTATTATTTTGCACACGTTTTACTCGACAGCAAAAAATATATTATTAAAAAACTGATAGATATTATTGAAGGATTATACTTTAAATAAAGTTTCTTATTCGGCGCAAAACAATGAATCGTGACAAAGCTAACTTCAAATTTGTATTGTTATTCTGAACATTTGATTTTATGTAATTTTAGGTTTATTGCATTTGAAATATGCTATTGAATAAATTTTTCTATTGCTTTTGAATATATATATTTGAATTTTTATTCTTGCTGTAATAATTTATTTGTGTTACACTTTTGTTTTTTTTTTTAAATTATGTTATAAATTATGTTATAAATTATGTTATAGAGCGCATGAAATTTATATTTGTATTCGAAATTTTATCGAAATTTGTGGAATCGTAAAAAAAAGTAGATAGTAAAAAAATTTAATACTTGTTCTAACGTTCTTTATAACTTGATATTGCTAAATATTTTATGTGCACATTCGCACTTTTATAACTACTTCAAGCTTCAATTCGTCCATTATTTTTTGTCATTACCATATTCACATCGTAAAACTATTTTCTTCAATTTGACTCATCTAAATCTCATCTCATTTCCAATAATAAATACAGTAGACTTACGCGCACACGGTGCATGTTGCTCATTCATTGTCAATTCCATTGTTTCCGAGAAACAGCTGCACTCCATAAATGTTCACCTCACCGTTCAGCTTTTAGATGCAGCAGTATTTCGTAACATCAATATGAAGATTCTTCTAATTACAATCTGTAGAAAATACCAGATACGTCACAATCCTAGCCTGCATATTATTATAGGAAAAGAACTAAGAAGAGAGAACACCAGGTAACAATAATAATTAAGTTGACATCTTTTAACGTCAAAACGACGACAAATAATGTCAGCTTATCTGATAAGATACAGTTCTCAGTTATGCGTTTATATTACATTAATAATAAATATGATTAAATAATATAAAATATTCTCACGCTCTGATTATACAGAATTCTCTAGATGTAAAATTTAGTGCCGCGCTTACTTTTGCGTTAGTATTCTTTCATTTATGCGATCATGAAAGATTATTGAAACAAGTTTCCAAATATTAAAAAGCGCATACATCTTATCTATATTGTCTAGATTTTTCTATCAGATTTTCTATCTAGATTTTTTTATCAATATTATCTTTCCTGCTGATGATATCGTGCAATTATAGATTTACATTCAAGACAATAAACCTGGTTCCAATGTCGAATAAATTCGACGCGATTATGACTTGACCGCGACCATGCTCGGGCATCGGGTAACTTTTAAATTTATTGAAAACACCAATAGTCTTTTAGACAGATACGCGCATGTGCAATACTAATTTTTTGTTATTACGCTTCATTTTCATTGCAACACTAATGATTACGCTAAAATCCCGTATATAAAAGAGACCCCGACATCGAACTCGCACCAGAAACTATATTTAGGAAGGAATTAAGAATAAGGAATAACAATTTCAAGCTATCAGAAATTGGACATATTGAAATTAATGTGTCCACGATTTCTGATAGGTTGAAATTGTTATTCCTTATTCCCTCCACGTTTCTCTTAGCAGCTAATGAGAAAAAAGAATTTGGACGCTTTCCGTTGAATTTTTAATTTTCATTATAATATAATAATATCTAAATTTTTTTATTTTTTTATTTTTTGTTATTTTTTTATTTTTATAATAAAATAATCGTATATTTAAGATAAAACAGCATAT